GGGGCTCTGGTTTGGGCTCAGCAGGGCTTAATGCTGGCTGGCTTTGTCCAGGCTGCTGCAGGGGGCCTTGCCGCTCAGCGTCAGCGTTCAGGAAGTGGAGAGCGGGTGCCGAGCTCCTCCCCCTTGCTGGAGAGTGAGCAGACGAGGGCGTGAGGGAGGCTTATGGAGTGGAGCAGAGGAGCAAGTCTCCTCAATTCTGCAGGTACAACAGCTTGTGTGTTGAAAGGCAGGCGCCGTCTCACTGTTACTGCCTTGTGGCTGGAGGTCAGTTAGTTCTTGCAGCTGTTCCCTGCCCCTGCTGTAGGTGCGTTCTGCCTTGGAATCAGCTGTTTCCTGAGCTGGTCTGTATTCCTTTACTCCCGGAGGCCTTGAATTTCTTATAAAACCTACTAGACTGCTTCCCCACCAATCAGCTCAACCACAAAAAAACATTTAACTTGTCTCAGACTGCCACATCCAACAACCGGTGTTTTATTAATGATGCACTTAGTTTTTAACTAGGCTGGATAACTCTAGATACTAGTATCAGTTTTACTGACACCTGAATAAGGCTCTATGGCCAAAACGTGTTTTTCCTTCTTTTTTTCAGCATGGAATAAACCTATTACTTGTTCCTACCCAGCTGACCCACCTGAAGTATCAGTTTTAGTCTGAAAGGAGAAAATCAGTTTCAAGTCTTTATTGAACTTTATTTATGTGAGGGGTAAAAACACATTCAGAAGCCAAAAACAGCCACCTTGGATACCCAAAATACACAGTATTCATACAAGCGCAGGGCTGGTCATGTTTCCCTGGTGCTGAACGGAAATCCCAAGCGATCCTGAAATGCTTTCTCAATGTTAATTTTTAAAATATATACACTTCTGTTTTTTAAAGAATTGAATTAGTTGGCACTTATATAAAAAAAAAAAACAGCACCAGCTTTCTATCCTGTTGCAGCTCTGCGAGAGGGCATCGTACTCCAGCTGCTTGCAGAAGGGGAAGAGCCTGAGCCACTACTGGGGAGGGAACCC